TAAACAGCAGAACTTGCAATCTATGCTTGCCTCTTCAGTGCAAAAGAGAAGGTATCAATAAATGCTGTTATGCTATAGTTTGACCCAAGCACTCCCAGGCAGGAGCACTTCATAAGCAGACCAGAAAGGGAACTTCTTATCCAGAGGAAACCAATGCAATGGCCAAGATAAATGTCTGCCAGCTGTAACTCTAGTTTTTTTCTGTTCTTCAGATTGCTATTGGTGAGACACCCTAAGCACAGGGTATCTTCTTTTATGAAGGTACAATATGGCAAAGACTTAAGACCTGCTTCACCTTCTCTTTATCTAGTCTTCTTTGGCCCCGGAAGATGCACATATTTGCATATACACTGTCCTAAGCAGTGAAACTATGCTTTCTGGCGTCTTAATTTAAAGCTATAATTTACTTCTATTAGGTGTTTTGCCTGTGAGGTACAGGTGAGGTACAGGTGAGTCTCTGCACTGATTAATACTGGACACCTACTGTGTTCACCAAATAGATGACCACTTTCCTGCTAAGAGCTTAAATAAATGAATATTATTAGTGGTCAGCAGGCTGACAAACAACCTTGATAATACAGATAGTTGTCTTTATTTTATCAAAATGTTTACTTTATCAGGAACGTCTTCAGCAGCATGCACAGATGGAAAGCTGTGTGCTACCACACCTTCCTTAGCATGTATGCTTCTTTCATCGTTTAGATTGGTGTTTGCATCTCCTCTTGGTTAGAGGACATAAGTGATTCAGAAGCAGTCTGCTGAGGGGATCAGGAAGCTAGTGGAGGGCATTAACAATCTTAATAGATCTGATAGGTGGATTTCACATTTTGAGGGTCTGTCTGTCTGTGTTGAGTTCATGTGAAAGAAAAAACACAAATGACAAGATTTTTAAAAACGATCCTACAATGTAAAGAAACATGGCTGGACTCAATGTTCTTAGAGGTCTTTTCCATGCTAAACAATCCTATGATTCTATGAAATATGAAAACAGGTAAAGTATCTATCTCTATGTCCAGGTGCTAGTTTTTATTTTAAAAAAATCTGTACCATGTCTCCTTTAAATATATACTGCCATGTGTGTTTTGCAGCTATTTTTTCAGTACATTTCACCTGAAAAATTAGGGGCAGAACCACATATTGGTATATTGGTTATGCCTGCTACCTTGAGTTTAATAGAAAATGTAAGAGAGCATCAAAAACATCTATACACCCTCATAATTCACCTGTTAAGAAACTGCAATAGTTTTTGTAGCATCATCTGTGCAAAGGATTTGATTGATGTATCAAATTTCCTTAGATCTAGAATCAGCCTGATTCCTCCTGCCCCTGCAGAGTATGAAACACCCGGACTACAAGCGTCTTGAATGCCTTCATGTGATACAGACTACATGGTGCCTTGGAACATCTGTTCCAGGAGCTCCTTTGACAGAAATTTCTTTCTGTAGTAGAAAAGCTTCATGTCTCTGGTACCTGACTACCTGAAGCAAGCTCATCTCAGGACAAAGTATTTTGGTTTGCTTTGCAAATCAAATGCTGTGCTGGTTTGAGCACACTTCAGATTTCAATCCAAAGGTTCTTGGCAGTTGCCATCACAAAGAAGAGGTGCTCCAAAAGCAACTTTTACTCACATGCCTCCCTATTTGTACTGCAAGTTAGGCTATTGTAACACAGGTCATTTATCTGTCCCTTCTTTCTGGTATATAAGGGATATCAGAAAATTCATCTTTAACGATTAAGTTGAACATAAAGGCTTCTCAAGTCTGCTCACAGATAGATGGATAGATATCTGTTCTTCAGAAATTCAGATTTAATAGAACTGTAAAGAGGATATGCTAGCCACTGATGGAGAGTTTTAAGCATTCATTTTGGTTCAAAGGATTGTGTACAGAAATACAAGCACAGAATTTGAAATTCATCTAAAAAAGTTTGGGTATTTTGTCTTTCAATTTTAAATTGGTATTTTGAGATTTGCGAGACTGATTCTTTATGATACATCTGTGTTTTCCAAATTCCTTGGTTTATCAATGACAAGGCTACAAAGATGTGATTTTCAAAAAGGCTCTGATGGTTTCTGTGTATGCCCAAGTATTTTCAGTAACTGTATACCTACATTACTTGTATATGTTCTACATCCTCTGAGAATCCAATCCAAAATTCACTTTCTTTTAGACAAAAAAAGTATGGGCAATGGCATGCCAGTGATGTACTTAAAGTTTCACAGCATTTACCCTTTTCTAATATAAAAATGAATTTGGTCTAAGAAATTAAGAAATGGTAAAATACCTTACCCTCCCTCTCCTACCCTCTCATTTCTCCCTCCTCCCCTCAACTGCTGACTCTGTAGTCCTATCTTATACTTGCTGATGGAATTCTTCTATCACCAATACTTATGATTTTAACTGGTTTGTCCACCTAGACTGTAGTTACCTATGGAAATTCTTATTAACTTCTACCATCTACAGTACCAATGACAGAAACTGTTATGAGAACTGAGCAGGCATCCTGGTGTTCAGTGCACAATTCTGCATTTTGTTTCTAAGGATAGGAATACTAAGGCACATTCAGACTTCCTGCTAAGATGACTTTAAAGGTGGTTTGCTACAATATCTACATGTAGGGAGAAGCAAGTGATTGAGACAACTAAATTCAAAGCCGACAAACCTAATTTTCCATACAGTTAATAGATGAAGGCACAAGTCATATTCAGACCACACAGTTTAAGACCTAACTCTGATTGCACTTTGTTTCCCTGGAAAGTCAACAGTTCAAATTCCACTAATGCAGCTCAAGCAAAAGCTTTATTTACAAGCAAAATAAAGTGAAATGTCAGGATCCCCATAGAGTCAACAGAAAATAAATTATTTTTTAAAATCTGATCTATTTATTAGTTTCTAGATGTCTTCAAAACCAGACTGTTATCACTCTCCACTCCTTGTCACAGACATAAGGAACTCCATACTGCCTTCCTCCTTAATTGCTAGGAACTGTGTCTTATAAATCATCTGTGCTCTAACTGGGATTGTTGCATAGTGATTACTATGTTGATAATCAAAAGGATCAGAAAATACTGTTTTTATAAAATTTTATCATAAATTTTCCCATTTTATGAGGATTTTTTCTCAATGACTAGTATTTTACATAGAACATTTATATTTAGTAATGTACATATGTTTTATTACTGGAATAACATGGGATCCTAAAAAAAACACGGCCTACCTAAGTTTTAATTCCAGGTAATATGCACAGCAGCTAACAGAGGTACCTTTGTAAATTTTTTGCCATTCTTAACCACAGCCTACTATATATGGAAGGAAAGCAGTCAAAAAAGCAATGTCAGCCTCTGCACATTGATTAGGACCACTAACTGCATGAGTAACTGTGTTGGAGTAAGTAAACCACTGTGTTTCATCATCATTGAAAAATAAACTGAGTATCAAGCCTGCTGGCTTGCCAGAAGCAATTTTCTTGAGCTCTTGAGTTTTGCTTAGTTGTTGGTTTTTTCCTTTTATCATTTTTGATAGTGTAGATTCAAAGTTTTTAATGTCAGCTGAAATCACAGCAGCAGTTGCACCATAACCTAAGCACCAACAAACTCAAGTCACCATTATCTGTTAAAGAAACTGTCGGACATCCCGTGCTTGCCCATCAAGATAGCAACAGCAGTTGCACGTCAGCCTGATCTAACACAGCTTCTCTTTCCAGGTTCTGAAACAGCAGAGTTCCCTGCAAAAGGAAATGGCTTCTCTGTTGCATCAAACTCACATAAATTTTAACACTGACCATTTATGCTCCACCAATTTTGTGGCAAATTCAGGCAATTGAGGAAATACTACAGATGCACTATCTGAGAAAACACTTATAGCCACCCAGCTGGCCACCATCTTGCCCAAATGGAAAGAATACTTCCAAAGTCTTTCTTTAAGATTTAAGATCTGACCTTACAGAATGCTGAAACAAAAGTCATACAACTTTCATACCTGGTTCCTAAGAGGAATCCAACTGAGGAGTGCTGAAAGCTTTTCTTATATTTTTATTGGTTAGAAAGGTGAATCTACCCAACCAAAAACGTGTTCCCTGGAAATGGGAACAAAATACTTTTTAGATAGCTCATTAATTTTTTCATGATTCCTTCATTTCACCCCAGTGCATTATGATGTCTGTCATCAGCATGTGGACTCTTGAGTAAATGGACACTGATTACATATTTTGAAAATACTGATTATATAGAGTCCAATATCTCAAGAAAAGAGAAAGGTGAATAGGTTAATCACATTGCTGCTGCATTAATTCAGTTACTAACAGTGACCTGTATGTCTAAAAGCCATTTATGCCATGGTATGATAACAAAAATATCTAAATTTTAGAAAGATGTCATCTATGTAAACTTCTGAGTCGCTATATTTTTAACAGAATCACCTAAGGCACACAGCATTCAAGTCTCAAAGAACCAAAGCATATTATAATAATTAATTCTGAATAGTGTTTTGGGGTAGGGGGAAGCATGGAGCAAAATTTTCAAAGGGAAGAGGTCCATTTTTGCTCACAAAAATTATCTGCAAACTTCTGACAGAATTTATGTGGGCAATCATTGACATTCTATAAGCAGATCTAGCAAATACACTTGCAAATAATCAGTACAGGCACCCAGCTGTAGCTGATGCTTTCCTTGTACCTTTGTGAATATTCTCCTGGTAACTGCATGCATTAATCCACTACTAGGATTACATTTTATGCAAGCATTTTTAGCACAAACACACCTCCACCCTCCGTGTTTGAAATGTGAGTGCTGGTGTATTAAAAATATTTGGAAGACAGACTTATTAATATAAATGTAAAGAGAACACAGTGGGGTATATTTTCAGTGTGGAGCAGAGAGATTTAACTGCATGACTTCCATTAGCTCTAATGAGAACCGCACAGCTAAATCCTCACACACCACACTAGAAGATTAACCCAGAAAACACACGTTGTTTACTTTTTACTAATACTCTGATTATTACCACGTTCTTCCTCCTCCTCCTCTTCTTCCTCCTCCTCTTCCTCTTCCTCTTCATCCTCCACATCTTCACCTTCCTCTTCATCCTCCTCTTCCTCCTCCTCAATCTCCTCTTCTTCTTCTCGATCTATCTCCTCATCATCCTCCTCCTCATCACCTTGCTCCTCATTATCATCAGAATATTCCTCCTCTTCTTCATCCTCTTCCTCTTCTTCCTCTTCCTTTTCATCCATTTCCTCCGTTCCATCAGTTTCATAGCACTCATCTACTGAAGAGTTGTCTGCTTTAACCACAAAGGGTTTTCTTTTTGGGGCTGGTTCTTGGGGTTGCTTATCTTGTGTTTTTCTTTTTTTTGCCAAAGGACAGCCATAAACACTGTGCAAAAATAAAAGATCCAAATTATTACACTATCCTCCAGATTTCATTTAGTCATATATTCTAATTCTACACCATGATTAGTTGCTGTTCTCAGAATGCATATTTTCAAAGCAAAATGCTTCTTAGGCAGTAATGACCAAGAGGGAGGACACCTACAAAACCTGTGAAATTGCAAATGACTACTATTTGCCTGAAAATGTCACACATACATGACAGCATAACAGTTTCAGAATTGATACAAATGCGTGCTTTTCCTTCTCATTCTTTTTTGTCTTCTACATGTGACACGTTTTTTTCTAAGGCAGATAAAAAAACAGCACTCTCATCCTACTTGTTAGCTATCGGTGCAATGATCAGGAATAAAGCAATGCTTCATAATAGTGTAATATCAGTAAGTTTTGATTGCATGCAGTTAAGGTATGTTTCAATGCTATTTAAATAATGAAAATATGATCACACTCTTAGTGCTGCTGTTTGTGATTATTATTGTAAACAATGAATTGCTCTTAAATCCTCCAGTTTCGCTCGATTATATGGCACAAGGCCATATAAACAGGAAGGCAAGCTCCCCAACACAACCAAAACCAACAGTTTTCATGGCCAGTGTTGCAAGTGTTCTCACATTCAAAAAAAGAAAACAATAAACAAAATCCTTTGTCAATGAAGGAAGTCAGACTTTTCAAAGCTGAGTTCCACTTCCTCATCAATCATTTTAACACACTGCAACAGAAATAGTATTTCAGACTTCTCGTCTTCTACCAGAGTAGCCACCTGCTTCTCAAAGGTCATATAATTCGTATTTGTTGAACTTGATCACCCTTGTGTAACCTCTACAACCTCCTACACTGTGTGTGAGTGACTGCTCACACACATTACTTTTTTTTAAAGAACTTCCTCTCTGAATCTTTTTATTATGTGATTATAAACATTACTCAAGCTACATCAGCTTTCAGTCTTCTTCCTATTATTAACTACTTTTGGGACAGTCAAACTGTTCTTTCTAGCCCTTTCTGTTTATCTACTTATAACTTCTTCTACATTATATTCTTGCTCCCTTTATTCCAATTACAAAACACTGTGGATCTTTTATCATTTTCTTCCACTCTAATAATGCTTCATATTGTCCTGACAGAGCACTGAAATCTAGGGGTTTTCACCACCTTTAGTACTACAGATGCACTCTTTGTGGTGTCCTCATGGTCTTGATCTCAGTCTGATTTAATTGCATCCCAGCAGCTATGCAACCCAATTCCTTAAACTGCTACTTAGGTAACAAGAATTTTATTTAAGTGCCTAACTTAGGTATTGTCTTACCTAGATTTTAAACCACTTGTTCAGTCTGCCTGGCATACACATATCTAAGGAATATACAGTGGCAAAAGATAGTATTTATCATGAGAAACCTGCTAAGGGTGACCTCTGTGCAATACAGGCACCTCTCTTTCTCTGTGTAGAGACTGGGGTGTCTTTAAAGTCTAATGGCTAAATTAAACACCTCCCTCCACTAATACTATAGAGGAATACTGAATAAATTTTATTTCCATCCATCTAGCCAGATTCCAATGCATCTCACTTGGGAGTGGGGTAGTAATCCTAATGAGATACAGTTTGCAGACACTGACATCAAAGTTGAGGCCTACTGGTGCAGGCTGGAGAGGGAAGAGATGCACATCCTCCAGATTACTGAACCATGCTCCACTCAGCAGGTCATGTGGCATATTCTGGGGAAGAGCATCCTCTCATAGAAGATGAGTCCCTGTGCAGCTGGATATAAGAAACTCAGTTTGGTACACATCAGGCAAGCAGAAGTCCAAACCTTCACTAATTTTAAGAGCCCTAAACCTGGGGGGGGAAAAAAAAAAAGAGAAGCCCTAAGCTTCTGGTGTTTTCTCTTTGGAATGCAAGTGTTTCTATCCAAAGATGCTTCAGCGAAAACTTATAAATACAGCAGAAATCCTTGCCCTTAGATCATCACTACTGATCATGCCAAATAACAGCCCTGTCTCTTGTCCTGTGAGTCCTCCTCTTAGTCAGGACACAGCTGCCCAGAATGAAGAGGAAAGGTAGGACACATTTCCATGGAAAATATCCCACATCATCACAGCCAGGGCAAAACCAGGAATTCAATCTTCATCAGTCTGGACAGTGCATAAAACCTGGGGCAAAAGGGAAGCACCATTTGTTGCAGTTCTGACCACACCAGGTTTATTTTGGTGCTTCCCCTGGTGCCATGGGGTTTCAGTAGCTGCCTACTTAAGCTCTCCATATAGAGATTTGAGAGAAGGCAGATGAATTTTTCCTCAGAACTGGAATTTCAGAGCGCACGTAGTGCCCAGGGAAATGGCTGGATAATTAGGGAGGAACAAGTTTCATTTAGGTGTCTAACATGTTGCAACCTGAAAAATAGGAGTGGGTCACATCCTGGGGCTCAGGCAGGTTTTAGACACTTGCATGTCAGTTCAATGGGATTTAAGCAGTCAGGTTAGCATTTATTGAATGGATGTGCCTTACGTTCTTGGCTTCTGTTCCTTCTTTTTGGAATGCATATTACCCTTACTGTGGGGATGCATATTACCCTCACTATAGTTGCTTCAATGCCATTATCATTAAATGATATTTTCTCAAAATCCTGATCCATCTTTTCAAAGATGTGCATAGGCTTAGCCCCAGAAATCTCGATGATTTAATTTCTTCTTCTTAGAATAACCTTCATAGACCATTATAAGAGGTAAAGATGACACCAGGCAGCTCTGAGCTAAAAGGGCTCCTGTAGATGTGCAGCTGTGAAAATTATTGGCAACTGCCATTTACTTTAACTTCAATTTTTTTGTGGAATCATAGAATGGTTTGGGTTGGAAAAGACCTTAAAGACCACCTAGTTCCATGCTCCCTGCCATGGGCACACACATCTTCCACTACATCTGGTTGCTCAAAACCCCATTCAATTATTTTGTCACACTAAAGCCAGAACATTAACCCCAGCCTGTCCCAATCTTTTTTCATTTAGGAACTCTAAATACTTGTAACAGTTTTCACCTAGTAATGCCCCAAAACAGTCCCCTTTGGAACTCACAAAAGTCTAGGAAATGAGGAGGGCAGGGGGCTAACAGATACATCTATATTGTTTTGAACTGTTGCCTAATTTTAGTAGTTGACATCTAAGTATCACATGACCTTTTAGATAAAAAAAAATGTTCAAAGGTAAAAGGAAATTGTTGTCACTGCCATTTTTGTCATCTTTCATTTTTTTTCATAGCTTGATGCTTTTCTACACAATATTTTATGACTTTTTGAGAATCTAAGACATTACTCTGGAAAGTGCATAACTGGCAACAGAAATCAATTCCAGTTAGCTGCCTGATCGACTTTGATGCTTTTATAAATCTCATTAAATAACTATTTGCAACTCAGCTATTCAAGTAAAGTTGTGAACTTGACTTTAGTCTATAACTTTATTAATCCATTTTCAGTGCCTTTACTCATATAATTAAAATTGAAGACACATCAGCAACTAACAGAAACAAATATTTGTATATTTTAAGTGTTGGGTCCAGCACTAAGGCTCGGGAACATGTCATTTTTCCAAGGAAATCAGTTACGCTAGTTAACTTTGACATAGCTTTTGTAAACTCTTTGCTAATTAATTTGTACCAGTTATTCCACAACCCTGAATTTGGTTTTGTCTGTACTTGGACTTATATTTTATAAAGCTGCCATTGCACTGTTTTTTCTTATAAAATGTTACAAATTGTGTCTGGCACTGGCTTCCTTTTGCCTTTCAACTATATACCTTACATAGCTTAAATATACCTCATGTACTGCAGACTCCATAGATCGAGAGAATCAAAAAGTAATCCATGTATTTCAGAAACCTGGGAAGCAGGTCACCAGACCTAGAGCCTACTGTTAAGCTGGCCTATTTTCTTCTGTTTCTTTCTTACCCTGCTTCACTCTCATCCTTTGTTTCATTAATTTTTCAGATTCTGCCTCCAGGACACTTCTCTCTGTTTCTGGTATGTTCCCTGTGGTGTCTCCAGCGAGCACACCGAGGGGAAGGCAGTGCTGGCTTCCCTGAAGTCTCTGCCGCTAACTTCCCCCCCAGCCACATACAGAGATGACTGCCTCTCCCACTGACCTCTTGTTCCTCATGTATTTGTGAAATCTGTCCTTATAGCTTCTGCAATTTTCTCTACATTACCAATTTTAGCTTTTGTGATCATCCCCTTATTATTTTTAGACTTGTTTATCCCTGCTCAAAGCAATGGCCCCATTGATTTATGTGTCGGGCATGCCTTTATCCATTCTTTCACTGCTCCCTGTATTTCTCAGGTCAGCTGTTGTTTGTCTTATTTT